TAACAGGAATATATCACGTCTTTGGATTCATTTGGATTCAATATATAAGAGATCAATCATCATCAGAAAAAGCGGCATTCGAATTACAATTCTCTAATTGAAGGTTGGCATTCAAAGCGGATAATCTCCGTTCCAGTTCGGGGAAAGTATTTACCCAACGTTCCATATGACTCTGGAAAGTGAAGGGACAAGTTATGAAATAAAATATAATTTGAAGAACAAGGATGATCAATTGGACTTATTGAGGATAATTTACATTCCTAGAATCGAGCAATTTTTAAAGTTAGTGCATGATATCGAATAAACTTGAAATAGAATATAGTAAATTAATGTGCAAAATGGCTCTTTTTAAACAATTTCGATCTTAGCAAATGCATAATATTTGAGCACTATCTTAAAAAATTCAACACACACCTACGTCTTATGTTTTTTCGACGTAAATTTAATTCCTGAATATTGCATATCAGCAATATATTTTCCAAACTATTACATGCTATTAAAACTACTTTTAAGTTTTGTTCCTGAGAAGAATCTTCAATGCTTTTAAAATTCAGCAACAAAAATAAAATAAACATTGCCTGTAATGCTTCATTTGCTTCGGGTACTATGGGCTTACAGCCATCAAGTACACACTGTATAATTTCATCAAGTCGGGCAATCAATTTTTCGCATATTAAAACATTATCATTTTGTGGCTTCCATGTATCGATCTCGAGCATCTTATTTAGAAATTGATCTTTCAGCAAATCATCTGCCTTATCTGAATTTAAATCTAGCAATTCAGGAAAAAAAGCGGTTCGAAAACAAAGATCTGAACAAATCCAATTAGTATTTAAAGGAAAAGGCTACAACCGTAATAATTAAAATTCACAGTTATATTTCCTAATTAAAAAAACTGATATTTACTAAATCTAATTTTGAATCTAAATGTATAATTTTGAAGACTTGTAATCAAATGATATATCTGTATTTTAAATTGTCAGAAATTGAAAAAAAAAAATGTTTAAATAACCTAGCATTTGCAGGCCATATTTTAAAGCAGCAAGTGCAATTTGTGATGGAGGATAGAGAAGCATAACATCACCAAACAATGCTTTCTGAAAAAGAAAATGCTAAATATTAATAGAAATTCGTGAATTCGAAACCAGTCGTATGCTGTAGCATACGAACCTTGAAAAAATCGTTAGCATGCGGTCGCACTTGTTCCAAATCGAAACCTAACAATGAACGTGTTTTCATCTCGATCAAATGTCCTTCAAATGGTCGAAACGGTGTATGTATCGTCAGTTGATATCGCAATTTCAACATTATTTGTGGTTCGAATGACAAAATCGTTTCAGAATTTGATTTAGCAGTGCCGGATCTAAAGTTTCAGAAAGTAAACTAACTGTAAATTTCATCATAATACTTCTAAACTTTTAAGTGATAGGATAACAGTCTTATAATAAGAAAGTGAACTACATTCACCGTAGAAAAAAACTTACTAGCACAAGAGTAGTAACTATGTTTACATCTAAGGAAGATAATAAATACAAGGGAGAAACTAACTTCAGATTCTTAATAAATTCATCAATAGATATATTGAATTCATCAACTTTTGCAGCCAAATAAAAGCAGGACATCATCACACTTTTCGGCGAGTATTCCATTGTTGAGTGATACAGAAAGAATCGTTTAAAATATGCAAATGCTGTCCAACAAGTTGAAGGCCACATTGCAGGATGGAAATCATCCGCAAACCTTAAAAAAATCATCCGCAAATTTGAAGAAAACTTCTCTCTTGCAAAATATAAATATGTGATATTTGGACCTATTCCATATCAGACATATAAAATAAATGTAATTCTATCATTATGCCACAACATAAGAGAGATTTTTCTTTTCGGAAGGTCTTCTCTATAATTTCAAAACCTGTGCTGCTATTTTATCATTCAGTGTAAACTGTCTTATAACGGTGGAACAATGACAAATAACACAAAATAGAAAGGCTTACTAGTTTTAAAATCTACTCTATTAATGCTTGCAATTCGATTTAAGAATTTCTTAAATCATTAATAAATTAAAGATTCACTGAGAACATGATGAAGCAACTATTAGTATACCTAATGCCGGTTTCCGTAACAATATTTCTCAGTAGTGCTTCTTCTTCAGGTGTCAAAAAGATATCTTTTTGATCAGCATCAATCACTGTTCCATATTTTGCTCGGAATTTTTCATTTGCAACTTTCCTAAAAACAAAAAATAACACCTTGTTTGTTTATTGACAACTCCCTAACTTATATAATTTGAAATTTTGAGTAAACTATAATTCTGAATAAATTTTACAAACAGAAAAATAAAATGTAATTACTGTTTTCATCTCTCATAAAATCCGTCTTCTATACAAATACCTTAATTCGAAAAGATCCTGTTGTGATGAAAATGTCCATTCTTTCTTTTGAGTACTGGTTGAAAACATTGCAAACCTGGAAATACATTACACTCTTCTAATCAATACTTATCATTGAATTACCGGACATTCAAAAAATTGACTTCATTTCATTAACTTGAACCTGAGGATGAAAGTTAACTGTAATTCTAAGTGATCTAGCTAGCATTTAGAGATTAACATTTCTGATCTAATTACTAAAATCTATTTTTCTCGAATTACATTGCTAGAGGTATGTGTCATAGTTCATCTTATTGATGATAATATTAAATTATCACAAATATTAATAAAGCATTCTGACTTGTTGTCGGGACTATCCTCTGACCTATAATATTGAAGGAATATACAGGCTGATTTTATAAAATTTAATAATCATTCACTGCAAGATCTTCCGTTCAAAAAAATCGAGATTGAAGTTTTTGGGCTATGTCAGCAAAGATATTAACAAATGATGCTATCTCTGCATTTCCCCTCACCTCTTGCATCTTATAATTGTTTACTTTAGAAGATAGTCATTCTGGTTTTAATATTTCATTTCGCTTTTTCAGGTAAAATATCCTCTTAACAGCTCAAATATCCTTTTAAAATAAAAACGGTTGAAGTAAGGTTGACGATAATCGGCAAGACTAAGTTCGTGAATGGAATCACTGCTAAAGAATTATATACAATGTCATTTATAGATTTCAATTAAACGTACAACAAGATTTCATCTGAATTTTTCTTTTATATACAGCACGGATACATTATGACACTGTCATCAAATAAGGTAAGCTAGGATATCACTAATTCTACTTTTTAAATTTTCTTACTTTGAAATTGAAATTCTCCCTTCTCACCAGTTTTTAAACAATCTAGAATATATACCGATATTTATCAGCATGTTTGTGATATGCATCTGATTTGCGATATCTATGCTACACTTTGGAAACAATTCAAACAACTCCGAGATAAATGGCATTCATGAATGAATTTTATCAGAAGATAAGCACTCATTACTACAATAATGTGAGGAATTCATAACGAGAAGCAACAAAAGAAAGAATTAAACAATTCTAATTATATTCCTCCATGTTTTAGAAATCAACCTCCTTCAACCCACAAATATCCTCAAAGGTTTCTATTAGAAAAATGGACCACTTTAAACGATATGTTTCGATCAGATATATGTCAATATATGTCACAAATATCGGACATCAATAATAACTTCTTTCGTGGTCCTTTCACCTGTTTCCTGATCTTCGTTACTAATAAATAGTGTTTTTAAAAGAAATAATACAATCAATAAAGTTCAATTTGAGAGCATAATTAGTTTGTTGAATGACGTAAAAACAAATGATGCAATTTATTTCAATTGAAAAATAATAAATTTACTGAAAATGTAAGAATAGCATAATTTATTTAAAATATAAACATATTGCTAGAAGTATTTGAATAAACAATGAAATGTATTTGAACAATGGTACAGAAATTACTAGAACGAATATAAAAACAATATAGTGTCACAAATATCGGACATCAATATTAACGGAAAAAAAAGAATTGGCTAAAATGGATATGAATATATGAATAAAGAACAAAATTCGTTTAAACTAAAATAATATTCTGTTACAGAGATTTAAACGAAAATGATTCCAAGAAAAAATTATGTAAAAAATGTTATTGAAACAAAAATAATAATAATACAATGACCAAAATTTGAGGCCTCTCCTAAGAAATAACTTTTAGAAATGAGAAACAATATTTGTGCCAATGTTTCATTAACACGTTGCTACGAAGATAGCTATTTGGCAATTACAAGAAAATGATAAAGAATAGAAATTATTAATCAAGTAAAATACAAAGACTTTTTTCAACGAAAGAGAAATAAAAAACACAAAGACGAACATTGTGTCTACGGATGAAACATGAGGATAGCTTAAGAAAATGAAGTCAAAACTGCACGAAAGTCATTGAGGAATGAAAGAAATTAGGCTTACAGTATTGTCGTTTATACCATATTAGCATTTTCTACACCGGTAGATAGAACCGATGTATACTAAATCTATTACTCAATACTTCACATCATTGATTTCAAATCAACAGTAGTTATAGTTATTACTGAAGAGAATTTCGTTTCAAACGTAACAACAATTGATAGATGCAGAACCCAGACATGTAAAATATATATAATTTAAATAAAAAATGGTGTTAGTCAAACAATTCACCAAGACGGATATCAGGAGATAACTACGACAGGTAACTTTATGCATCAAAGAGATCAAAGACCCGTGCACTGAATACCGCCCAAAATTCCTACGAAACAAAAGTTTCATGTATGATGCATGCCATTTAGTTCGAATTGGATAACTTAAAAACACATTCAACGACGAAAATCATCAGACACAGCTCATGTAAATTAGATTTATTTTCCGAAAGTTCATCAGCCATTGCCTGAACGAATGGCTCGTTAAAAAAGATGCATCTCGTCACATAAAGGTTAAAAATTACAACCGATATCAATTATTTTTTTGAAATTTATCTAACATAAGCAATTAGCAGGCATCACACAAAATAATACCTAATTAAACATTTATTATGATTTTCCAACAGCAGCATTTATATTTCCTGTAGTAATTGTTGAAATATTTCGACCCTGATCATTACTGGCATCGATTTCCGGCAAAAGTGTGCCAAGAACACGTTCTTCAATTATCGGATCCGGGTAATACGGTTTTGGATTAGTTGAGCTAATAATCTAGAAAAAACCAACGTTTAAATTTCAATTAGTGCAGTAAACAACAAGTTCCAGCACAATTCCGAAATTGCATTATTGCAAGCAAAAAAATTTCCATAAAAAGATTCCATATAAACATAAAATTAATGGATCAGTACAAAAAGAGAACTAACTTTTCCCGAAGTATACATAACACGGCCCGGCTTCATTGCGTCCACAACTCGTGTAAGATCATCAGCCTAAAAATACATCAATTACGAATTTTTCACTTCGATAAATGTTAATTTTTATTAACACGCCGATCTTTCTTAATCCTAACATAAGCTCGCGTTAATTAATACAAATGCTAGATTACAAAGAACAACATAAGAGTAAAAAACTATGTCTTGATGATAATTTAATTATGGTACGTTGGTTTGGTTCTTACTTGTCTCTGTGTCATACACGGCAGGACATTGCCCGGCAATACGTAACCTCTTGGTGCAAGATGCAATTTATCACAATGTCTATATTGCAAGTGAGTTCGCATGTCGGAACAGAAAAATGAACCGCATCCACACAATGAGCAACGTAAACGCATGATACGCAAATGACTCACAGCATGCCGTCGTCCCTCCTGCAATTTCGTCTTTAAATGAAATAAATCAGAGGGTGCTAGTCCCATTCACAAAATTGAACGATTTTCAGCTGATATACCATGAATGTCTAGGAATAAAATATAGAATAATAAGTAATGAAAGTGCAAACACTAAGGAAGATTAAGATTCGTACGCTCAGTATAATCTTCCCCAGGACATATTGTTAATGATTTCAAATGTCCTTTCAAGTGATTTCAAATGCACCTGGGAATATTCTAGATATGGTTTTTGAAAAAATAAAACAGAATTTCCAGAATTTTCACTAATAAAACTGACTGATATATTCGCAATAATGTCGCCGCATTGCATGCACTTATGGGCACTTGATGCGCCATCACTTGAAGGCGAAGCAGGACGGATAAATGAGAAAAATAAATCGCGTTGTGTTTCAGTAAGGTAGACAGGAATTTCAGAGAGATCCTTGGGAAGGGATGCTTCACCGTTTGAATACCGTACAATCTAAAGAAAACTATGATTTAAAAAAAAAATAAAAAACAATTCATTGATTTTTGAACATGAAATTACAGCATCAAATAAATACCAAACCAACAACATTAATCGTTTAGCAGAAATTGTCAGCTGACGCACTACCACCCATTCTCACTTCCCACAAATAACATTTTCGGTAACTAACAAACAATCAACATACCATAACTTCATCATTATTTTCACGGATTGTTGAGAGATCTTGTTTACGACGAGATTGTGATATGGGGCGTCCATCCCCTGATGCTACGTTTGCGCTGTCGTTCGATGCCTGTCCCTTGGTATCTTTTGATGAGGTACACGCTATTTCATCTTCATCTGCAATAAAACTAGTAAATTTTTTACCTTTCTTGACATCTTTTTATAATTCCCACATATTTCCACATATAGAAATTCCCACATATTTAAATTTTACGATATACACAATACACCACATTTACATTATCAGCAGAAGATGACTGACCGACATTGGATAATAGATCATCTCCATATTTCATTCTTCGTGCACGTGGAGTATACTGTAAACGACACGTTTTCTTGCTCTGAAATTTGAAGTTAGAAGCGAAATATCAATAACTTGATGAATCATGTTGATGGTTATTACTATTACATTACTGGTCACATTTTTCGAAGATGAAAGCATCACCATTATATCTCTGCCATTTTCAGCATCAGTTGAGGACAATCCAGTTGACGACAAGGGAAATGACGATCGTATTGCACTATTGTCATTGCTACTAGTCGCAATATTACTAAAATAAACAAATGCAAATCTTTATGAATTTTCTGACATTACCAAGAAGCGCAAGAGAAAAAAAAGAACAAATTACAATGTGTGAGAACTAACTATGTGCTTTCATGTGGTGCAGGAGTTGATGAGTTTGATGTTTCTTCGCTGCTTGCCTCCGACTGAATACCAGGAATGGTACTACAAAGTTCAACTGGAGTTGAGCGTTGACTATCTGCACTTTTAGTACATTTCGATTCAGTCCTCGATGGCGGTCGACTTTGTCCGGTTCTCGATGATGGTCGACTTTGCCCTTTTGGTTGCGCATATTCCAAATCCACATCATCATCATCACGACGAGCACGTTTATTCCTAAATTTAATGAAGTTATGAAAGAAAAAACTAATTTCTTTGAAACACGAATATTTACTTGCTAGCATCAAATTGAAATGTGTCAATGCTAACAACCATTTTATCTCAGCAATTCATAAAACATGCTTATAACAATACAGAATTAGTGCTTGATAAAGAATAATGCTTAATGACGGGAATACTTACTTAAAACCAGTAACATAATTTTCATTAATCCAGTTTGGTTTACGACGCTGACGTGAAGGACGCTGTTTACGACCATCTTCAGCCTAAAAAAATAAAAAGTTAGAGTTCCACAAACCCAAACTGTATTCATGTTTAGCAAATATGTTATCGGCTAAACAATATTATCCATGCACTTACTTCGTCACTATTTCCACTCAGCTCATCCTTCTCAATATCATTCTTCGGTGTCTGTTCAGCTTTTGGTTTTGGTTTACGTCCCCTACCACGTTTTTTCGGTAGTTCAACCTCGTGTTTTGTCTCTTCATCACTCTCGTGCGAAACCTTAAACAAACAATACGATTCAATTTATCCCTTCTAACAACTATCATTATTAAAAGCTCATTAATTGTCTCCTTTTTTAAATAAATACCTTGCTAGGGCCAGCCATTTGATCTACTGTTACATTTTCCACCACGCGTTTACGCGCTGTGCGAAGCCATATAGGTGGACCGTGCTTTTTCTTTTTCGAAACTGATGGGCTCATTTTTGAAAGCTGAAAAACGAATTTTCCGAAATATGCCATGTTTGTAAGATAAGTTTTTGGAAAATTCGCAACATTAATACAAACCTGTCCTGTCTTCCCGTGGCTAAGACGTGGACGTCCTTTCGGTCGCACTTGCGGCCTCGAAGAGCATTCATTCTAAATTTAGAACTACTTTTATTTCTCATATCTCGATTCAATTAAAATTTTTTGTACCAGTTTCCAAGCTCTCATTCTTTCCCTCTACTTATAAGATGTAAATACTCCTTAAAATAAACGTAAGAGCGCATGTTTAATTCATAAAACACAAACCACTAAACTTACACGCAAAATTTGTATATTCAGTTCATATTTGCTGTCCTCTAATAACGGAGCTTTTTCGACGTCACCACATACAACTGCAATAATGTAATCCATACGATCTTTTACTGCCTGAAAACTATTGGTATATTACGGAAGATATTAAGTGATTTTAACAAAAATGATTACAGTATCAAAATATACCAATTCAATATTTTCATTTTCCACATTTGCCATTAATTCCAGTACAGGAGCAGAATCATATCCAATCTCCTCCGATCCATCAGATGACTCTTCTGTCTCAAGAAAATCATCGGATAATGGACTCAAGCTTCGTCCTCGCATTTGTATAGTCTTAAACACAAAATTTTCGG